AAATTGTTTTTTTTCCACGGTGGTTATATCAAGGGCTTGCCAAGAAGGTGCCTTGTAATCATATCTGGTTTCTACTTTTGGTAGGTTCTACTCTAATGGACGGCACATTTTGTCTGCTGGCCAGGATCGTGCCTTCCGCTTGTTCTCTGTCATCCAGGTAAGATAAGATAGAGATTTAGTAGCAATTCTATACCAGGATTATGAATTTTTACAGCCTACACAACCTTTTGCTATTCTGTAACTTTTGAGCTATATTGTAGATATCAATTATTACAAAAATTAGGAAACTAGGCCCCCTTGGGCATCCATTAGCTGAATTGATAATCATAACAGATTGTAGAGTTCAGTATTGTCAGATAGTTTAATTGATATGTAGTCATTTTGCTCATCATCTATTGGTTTAAATGCAAAATTTACAAAATTTCACTTGTATTTTTCTCTTTGATGTCACTTGCAAACATTTGAACTTTTTTGTTTTCCATTAATTACTTCACCAGGAGCAACAAAGTAGAGAGCTTTCTCAAAGACACATATCCAGACGAGCTAAAAAACTGCGACTGAAGGTACATCAAGAGAATTTCTTTTGGTTTTTCTCTAAGTTTTCCATGGTCATTTAGCCTGTTTTAGGTGGCTCTGATTCAACTTAACAAATGGCATACCTTAGTAGAGAAATAGTTGCATATGTTATGTGTTCTTGGAAATAATTCATTTTTTGCTTATATTCTTTTTCTTCTCTATGTAGGAGGAAGAGCTGAAACTGAAGCCTGTTATTGCATTTGATTGCGGTATTTATCTATAAAAGTTATCTTTACTTTTTCTCATTTAATTATTTTGCTTGGTTTCTTTCATCACATTCTTAATATCATGATGTCTGAAGAACAAAAACTTTAAGCAAATAGATATCTACAAAATGGATTGATCAGTAATTAGGTCCAAAATGGTTGGCTCACAATATTGCAAATGCTTTTATTGGTTGATCCCTATGGAGAAAGTACTGACCTTTTTGTGAGGTGAATCTAAGATTTTAGCTTATGTTCTGTCCTATAAATTTGCTTGTTGATGAAGAGAAATTCTTAGCTCCCGCGGCTTATGTTGTTTTCTGCTTATATCTTAATGACTGTAATTTTTGTCTTTCCAAAATTGAAGCTGAAATTAGGGAGCGTGATTGGTGCAATGTGGTTACGTGCCATATGGATACAGCAGAAGCATATGTATGGAGACTTCAGAACTTTGTTCTTGGAGAGCATATTCTCAAACCATGCCCTGAGAATCCAACGCCAATTAAGGTTCAAACTTGAACTTGAGTGTCCTTACTTCTTAACTTCTATCACTCTTCTGAACCAAGAAAAGTAAAAGTGCTTTAGTCCTTATAGGTGGAAACTAATTAATGTGAGATCTAGGACTTTTAACTATTGACCTCCCTTCCATATGTTCATTTAGATAACCATTTGTTTGTCACAAGAATGGAGTTTAACCTAGTTAGGTTAGAATGGTTTCAAGTCTTTACAATGCTGATGTTGTTCGCCTTTGAAATGTGTATAACTAGATTGAAGCTTTTTATGCAATTCTTTGTCATACCATGTCACCACAGTTCAGAGGCTAGTGGTATTTAGGGATAATCTCCTTTTAGCAATACCGGTATATTTCTCTTGTCTAGTGGTTATTGAACTCTAAAAATTGCTTGTCTGACAGGCTTGTGCAATCAGTGCCTGTGGAAACTTTGCTGTAGTCGGAACAGCGGGTGGCTGGATCGAGAGATTCAACCTTCAATCTGGAATCAGCCGGGGTAGTTACTTGGATAAGTCAGAGAAGAGAAGTTACTCCCATGACGGGGAAGTTATTGGAGTTGTTTGTGACTCCACAAACACCCTCATGATAAGTGCAGGATATCATGGGGACGTAAAGGTTTGGAAAACTCTTGTTTGTCTTATGATTAATTAGAAGAAATGATGTCGCATTGTTCCTCGTTTATGTAATTAATTCCTTAGTTAATATGGCTGCCTCTCAACATTGACTCTGGTTGATATATCTGGTTTGACTCAAAATAGACTGTTTGTAATATTTCATTTGTGAATACAGGTTTGGGATTTCAAAAAACGGGAACTAAAGGCCCGGTGGGATGTTGGATGTTCATTGGCTAAAATTGTGTACCACCGTGTTAATGGTAAATTTCCCTAACCTAACCCTACTTATTTGTTGCTTGTATGTTTCACATTTGTATCTTCTTTTTCTGTTTCCGTCATTTCCCCATCGTTTACCACTGTATTGTCTCTGATTTTGGTAATTCCTTCATCACTTGGTAGGTCTTTTGGCTACGGTGGCAGATGATTTTGTGATCCGCTTGTATGATGTTGTGACACTAAGAATGGTTCGTGAATTTAGAGGCCATACAGACCGTGTAACGGATGTGTGCTTTAGTGAGGATGGCAAGTGGCTCCTCTCATCTAGTATGGATGGAAGTCTTAGAATTTGGGATATTATATTGGCAAAACAGATTGATGGAGTGCATGTCGATGTGCCAATAACATCATTGTCTCTATCACCAAATATGGACATTTTGGCAACAGCCCATTCTGATCAGAACGGAGTCTACTTGTGGTAAGTTATCAAATCAAAGCTTCCATTTTTAAAATCTGTAATTACAATTATATAAGTTTTCTGTATTTGTTCTAATGATTTCATTCTCCCCTTAACGTTAATCAGGGTTAACCAATCATTGTTCTCTGGGACTCCAAATGTCAATTCATATGCTAGTGGGAAAGATGTCGTAAATGTTAGATTGCCTTCAGTCTCTGCGTTGAGATCTTCTGAAGCGGATGCTGATAATATGGAGACACAAGTTTCAGAAAATTCCGGAGGCGAAAATGCTATTAGTTTCTCGATTTCCCCTAAGCAGATCCCGGAACTTGTTACTCTGTCTCTGTTGCCAAAAAGCCAATGGCAAAGTTTGATCAACTTGGATATAATAAAGGTTTGCATATTTTCTCGCTACTCACCTTTCGTTGATGCTTTTATGCTACACTGTTTCTCCCAGTTTTTGTGAAAAATAATCACAATATATGTTTGATATTGTGTCATAGGCCCGCAATAAACCAATAGAGCCTCCAAAGAAACCTGAAAAGGCTCCTTTTTTCTTGCCCTCGATTCCCTCACTTTCTGGAGATATATTGTTTAAGTCGAATGAATCGGAAACCGATGGGGAGAATCAGGAAAAAAATAAAGACGCACAGAATAACAGCATGAAGAAGTTTGATGAATTGGAATCTGCATTCTCAAAACTTCTCAAATCTTCATGGGATTCAAAAAACTGTAAGTGAGAGGTCTTTTTTTACGAATGTCAAATCACACAACGAAAAAGCTTATATTCCCTATGACATACGTTTTTGCAGATTCAGATTTTACAGACTACATAAAAGGTTTATCCCCGTCAGCTCTCGATATGGAGCTACGGATGCTTGAAATTATAGATGAAGATGTCGAAGAAGAGCTTATCAAACGACCTGAGTTTATATCAATTGGACAACTTCTGGATTACTTCATCAATGAGATCTCTTGCAGAAACAACTTCGAGTTTATGCAGGCAGTTGTGAGATTGTTTCTAAAGGTATTGAATTTTATTTCCCATGTAAGGAAATCTAGTCTTCACAAAAAATTTGGTTTGAGGAACTTGACTCTAACAAAACTCGGTTATTTGTTTATCTGGACAGATCCATGGTGAGACCATAAGGTGCCACCCGAAGTTACAAGAGAAGGCGAGAAAGCTTTTAGAAACTCAGAGTTTGATATGGCAGAAAATGGAGAAGATATTCCAGAGCACAAGATGCATAGTTACCTTCCTTAGCAATTCACAGTTTTGAAGAAGCTTAGTAGCATGTTGTTCTGTTTTTCACATTAAAATGTATTCACAAGATAAAACAATTTTGAATAACCTTATTAACATGTTGCTCTGTTTTTGACATTAAAGTGTGTTCACAAAAATAACAGTTTTTAAGAAGTCTTTCACACTGTGATGCATTCAGAACAAATAAAAATACCGTGGAAGATAATTTTATTTGGTGAAATTTATGTTAATATTCAGTTACTGGAATTAGGTGAGCAGATTCTATAAGATTTTATAT